GAAGGGTTGAGGAGAGATGGGTGAATGGAATTAATTCTTCCCCAGGCCTCTGTTTTTGGGCTAAAGTCCTGAGTCTCTCATTCTCTCTCTACAGGAAGCTGAGCCCCATCTCATCCTCTTTCTTCTCCTGGACAGAACCCTGTCTAGATCCATAACCTCCTCTGTCCTAGGGCTTTTACCTCTATTGATGGGACCTCAAGGCTTTGCAGAAGTGTCACACTGTTGGCTCTACTCAACTCTCAAAACGCTGGAGACAGGACAGAGTAGCCACTCTTGCGTCTGACCTCTGGCCTCTTCTTACGTTCCAGCTCTGTCCTATCCTGGCTGTGTGACTTTAGCAGCTCAGCCACTTCTCTGAGTTTTGGTTTTGCGGCCAAGTCACAGCTGCTCTTCCTCTGAAACCCACCCACTTCCTTCCAAGGCCCCTCACTGCCCATCTGGACGCCGCCCCAGCTTCCTCCAGTCGCCGGCTGCCACGTCAGCCCCAGCGAACCCTCTGCCTGCAGAAGTCCAGAGAGTTTCAAACATGTAAGCTAAGGCCTGTCCCTCTTCAGCCCTCAGCCCTCCAGGGCTCTGGGGCCAAAGCCCAGGTCCTCCCTGCAGCCCGCAGTGCCCTACATGGCCCCTGACCCTCTCTGCCTCCCTCTCTGCCCCATGCTCCCTCTGCTCAAGCCACTGGGCTCCTCACTGTTTCTGCACTTCACGGGGTTCTGTCCCTGCCCCAGGGGCTTTGCACTGCCATGCCCTCTGCCTGGAAGACTCTTCTCTCTCTTCTGACGACCCCAGCCCAAATCACAGGACCCTGAGCAATGACAGTGATGAGGGGTCACCACAGGCCATGAGGTGCTACATCCACCTCAGTACCTAACTGTCTCTGGGGAGCTACACTGCACCAGCCACAACCCCCCCAGATTTCCAGGCCCCAAACTATTTCCCTGATGGGGGCATCTGCAGGCCAGAGAGGGTGAGACAGTATCACAGAGCTGCACAGCAAGCCAGGCAGTCCCAGTGCGTATCACCAAGAACCACACTGAGAACTGAGCTCCCAGGGCTCTACATGGACGGCGGCCCAGCTCCCAGATGGACGGATAGACAGATGGAGGGACAGGCAGGCGTGTGTCGGCCACCAGAGCCTCAGACCCCAGC